CAGCAACTACTAACAACCTACATGATCACTCCATATTTGCCCTCTTCCATGTAGGTGCCAAAGACATGAAGGCCTTCCTGAAACATCCTTACACTTGTCTGTCAATGTACTGCATGGCTCATCACTGCAGCCTTTAGGTATAAAAGCTGTTACCCAAAAAAGGAGCATCTCTGAGGAGTGGAAATCTGAAAACTATATTCTTCGAAATACATTTATATCTACAGCTTGTCAAACTGGCTTAGCTTTTCCTTGTATCCTCTCAGCCCCAATGGGAGATTATTTGCTTCACTTTCTTGTGATTTTTGAATTCACTTCATCCTATGGTTTCTCTGGACTGTCTTGAAGGAACTACTGCCTAATGTGCTTTTTAGTAAAGCAGTTTGTACTCTGCCAACTGTCACTCAAAGTAGTATAGAAATTCACTTATATTCCTGCCTATTTAAATCAACAACCACAAGAATGACATTTGCTTGACAAAACTGTTACACCTTAAAAAACAGCAATGAAAAATTTAGCAATACAATTAAATTTATTCTCTTTTGCAATGTTCTTCCTCAACTACAGAGTATTCCATTGACATCTGACAGAATTCAGCTGAAACCTGAAATTTTCAGGTCAGTATCCCTGTCAAAATAACAGATTATCACAGTAAATCTGGTTTTATCATCCCATAACAAACTAGACTGCATTTTTTTTAAAAGGGAATGCATCTTACTAGAATAGAAATGCATCTTTACTAGAAATAGTAAAACTGTTAAGAATACTATACAAAATGTCATGCAGTTTCAGGGAAACTATCTTTTTCAAGAAGTAGGAGGTGGGAATCTAGACCAGCAAACCAGCAAGATATTGCATTAAGAATGGAAACAATGAAACTGGTTTCCTATGGATTTGTGCTATAGATTGAGCTCTACGTGACTTCCCTCCTGGCTAAAAAGGATTCTCTTTATGCTGCATAACTCATTAAAAGGGTCTTCCTCTTATATCCAGACATGTATGTTTTAAAAAATGTACAGCAACTTACTGGATTTTTTTACTTTTTCCCCTCTGTCTGCAATTGCTGAGGAGGTGCAACATGCTGTACTTGGAGGGACAGAGGACTACATTCTTTGAGTGTTGGTTGCTCTCTGTTGCTTACAATAGTAAATTCAATTTCACAAATACTCACCAACTACCATATATTTATTTATAACATTTGATATATTTATTTCTATTATTTATTTCTATTTTCAGGAAATACTTTCAGGATTTTTTCAGTTTTGGGGGACAAAACCATTTATGGAAAGAACATAAAGGATTTCTACTGCATGACCCCCACAAAAAAGCTCTATAGGTAAATCTCTGATAGAAGGAGGACCACAGTTTTCATCCAGAGGAAGCTCTGCATGTAGCTAATGGCTTATCTCTCTGGGAAGTTTAAGATTAAAGATGGTCAGGCGTAGAAACTCAGTGCTTTCTCTCAGACACCTGCTGATGCCATGATTGCTCAACAGGCCAAAAACGGCAGTCAGCTCTGAAACACAATCACTAATATGATTAGATGGGCAGTAGTATACAACCAGACCCACTATCTGTGAGCAGGAGAATTCTCTCCACGGGAGTACAAGGACAAAATAAGGAACTCTCTAATATAAAGTGTTATTTTTTTTTTTTTAAAGCATACCTCCCTATCCTGATGCAAGCAAAATGCTGTACCAACTTGAGGTACTGTGAATCAAGAAGACAAGTTCTATTGGAGAGAAAGAAAAGGGCTCCAGCTTGACCATTCTCTCCCATCAGGGGAAAAACACCAAAACCTAATACCAGATAAACCAAGGGCTGAAACTGTAACGAGGTACTGTGCCTACCTCAAGGCAGTGCTGAAATGGGAAGCATTTCAGCATGACTAAGGCAGGTCAGAGATGGTAGATTACACTCTCATTCCTTCCAGCTTGTACTCTAGGGAATACCATAAATATCATAAATGGCCTCTTTTCTTAGTCACTGGTCTGGAAATTTGCAGTTAATTAATTTTACCCCATTCAACATAAAGGTCTAGGACTCTATCCGATTTTTTTAGTCAACATCCAGCAATAAATGCAAGCTTCCCCAGGCTTAGCTAACAGTTCATAAAAATGATTGACAGCTCCTTCCAAGGTCTCCACAGATCACCCAGAATCACAGCCTGCCCCTGGAACTGCGGAGGGTGTCTTTTTGTAAATATTTCTTTCATGGCCTTGACCAATCACACAATTCACTTCAGCATCAATTGAATTTTACTCACCCTCACCGAACAAAAAAAGAGTACTTGGTACTTGGTCAGGAAAATATTATAAACTGGAAACTTTTTAGGAATAAATTACTACTAATTAAGAAGGAAAAGCTGTGTTCTTCTCTCCTCATCCTGGAAGGAATAAAACCAACTTACCTATATTTTTTAGAGTTATCTACACTGCTATGGTATGTGATCTTTCTACTTATTTCAGCTAACCATGTCCATCCAAGAATGCAAAAATCCCAGGATCAGGAAAGCAAACAGGATGACTCCAAACACTACTGGTTCCAGCATACAGCTACAGAGAAGACAACTTGTGCCCTGCAACTTGTACTCCTTGAACAACCTGCATCTCCTATGCAGTCACTGATTATAGAATAAATATATCAAACAAATATATTAAACAATAAATCTTTGACAAAACATGCATAAAAATTCCAGTTAATATAGCAAACATAAGGTCCTCTTAACAGCAAAACTCTACAAAAGCACAACTGGCATAACTACTTTTTGGCTTTCATGCTTTTAAATTACTTCAACCTAGACAGAGTATTCAGAAAGAGAAAACATTTTATAGTAGAAATTACAATGGAAACCAAAGTGAAATGCTAACTAATTTAAGCCCTGGTGCTGCAACTACTTTGCTTACACATCTGTTTGCAAGAGAAAGGTCTTAACCAACCACACAGAGAAATAACTCTCAGAGTCCTGTTTTAGAAAATGGGATGAAAGAGTTCTTAGAATACCAGAAAACAAGGGTTCTGTCACACCGTAGTGATAGCCTTAAAATTCTCCACATGCACTTCTGAAAAACAAAGGGTTGATTTGTAAAACCTAGTAAACTCACCATTGAACAAAACAACATTGTCTGGGTCTCTTTTATGTGGCCTGCCTGGGAGACCAGCTAACAGACTGATTTAGTTTAATATTATACAGAAAACCTACCTGTAACATCAATCATGGTAAGCGCTGCACAGGAAGTTCAGGGCAAGGGTGAAGTAGCCAGTCAAGTGTTGCTCTTGTGCTAACAGTCCATTCAAATATGCAATTCTTCTGTGCAGTTCTCTCTTTAGATGAAAGATGCCTTACAAACAAGAAGCTGTAAGTTAACATCACAATTAAACTGATCCTAAAAAGCCATCAGAACAAAGTACTGGAATGTAAACTATGAAAATGCAGTTTTCATTTTCGATGACAAGGGAAGGTCTCTTTGTTACTTCTTGACCCTCTGACCTCCCAAGAGTCATGCCAGAGTTGTCAAGTTTTTCTAATTAAGTATTTAAGCATGAAACATGTTCCACATGCAGTCATTCCTTCTAAGAATATGAAAGAATACAAGGAAGAGTGGCCAAAACTGTTTTGTTCAATTTATGGAAATACCCATCTACTGTGAGGTGCACTCTACCTGCTGAAGTGTGCATTTCATCTGGCTGACAAGGATATTCATTATCTTTGTGAAAATGATAACTAACTCCTTGAGAAATTACTTAAAATGAAAGCCTGATAATGATGGGCTGAACCTGAAGTGATCCATTCCAATGAGGAGAACAGAAATTGGAATGTATTCCTTCCATAGCTCAGTATTTTTTGGGTAACCACTTTGGTGCTTATGGCCAGGCAGGAATCAGTATTTCTTGGTGTCCAGGCATCACTTCACCCAGACAGAAGCCTGTGCACCACAGTCCTCCACAAAAAACTCCTTTTCCCTGCTCCCTTACTGCTCCCCATCAGGAAAGCCTAAACAAATAAGCAGGCCACGTGCATATGGCATTTTGGGATGCAGATGTCTATCAGCATCTTTGTTAAACCTGCCAGACCTTCTTGATTCGCTTAGCTTTGTAACAATCCCCTGGCTATATATCAACACCCCCCCCTGCCCCCCCCCCCCGTTACATTTGCTGTCTGCATCGAGGTATCAGACAAAACCATTCATCTTTTAATTTGCTGGTTTGCTATACCCTGGAGCACATTGCTTACTGTAAACAGGTAAAAAGCTCTAGGGAGAGTTTATTATTATATCTCTGCATTTGTGAGACCCCATCTGGAGGGGTCTCCATTGGTACAGTTCTGGTGTCCCCACCATAAGAACATAGAACTATTGGAGCAAGTCCAGAAGAGGCCACAAAGTTGGTAAAATGACTGGAACACCTTCTCTATCAAGGCAGGATGAAAAAGTTGTGTCTGTTCAGCTTGGAGAAGGTTGTGTGGAGACCTACAGCAACCATCCAGTATCTGAAGGGGCAAACAGTGATGCCAGAGACAGACTCTTTGGCAGGAAAGCAGTGATAGGACAAGGAGTAATGGGTAAAAACTGAGAGGGAAAATTTAGGTTAGATATTTAAAAGATTTTTTTTTACTGGGTGGTGAGGCACTGCAACAGGTTGCCCAGGGTAGCCATGGGTGCCCCAACCCTGGCAGTGCTCAAGGCCGGGCTGGATGGGGCCTTGAGCAACTTGGTCTAGTGGGAGGTGTGGGCAGGGAGGCTTGGGACTTATCTTTAAGGTTTATTCCCACACCTTAACATTCTATTATTGCATTAAAATACTCAGACATGTGACAGGTTAAGCTAACTGGATAAAGAAGACGCTAGCCCTCAAATAGGAAACTAATTACCTTTCTTCCCCGCCTCCCTAACCCTTGCGACCATCCTCTGCTAAACACCCCAGCAGCAGCCTCCGCCTGGCCCCGCCTCCGAGGCGGCCTCAGGCCGAGCAGGGCCCGTCCTGCCCGAGGCCTCGGGGGCACCGCCCGCCCGGGGCGGAGCGGAGCGGAGCGGGGCCGGGCTGGGGGCGGAGCGGAGCGCGGCGTGGGGAGCTCGTTATGTCCAAGCACGTGTTTCTCACGGGACCCCCAGGTAATGGGGCGGGAGGAGCCCGGGAAGCCGGGCAGTGGCGGTGGCGCGGCCGAGGGGATGGCCTGGGATACGGCCCGGCCCGGCCTGACCTGACCTGACCTGACCCGGACTGGCCTGGCCTGGCCTGGCCTGACCTGACCTGACCCGACCCGACCCGACCCTCCGCCGCGGCACCGGCGAGGCTGCGAGGCGCTTAGAGCCGGGGGAAGGCGGCTGCTGCCGGGCCCCAGGGTCCGAGGATGCCCCGGGAGCGCCTCCAGCTGCAGCTGGGCGCGGCACCACCCGAGGTTCCGCGGCTGCGGGCCCTGACCCGCCCCTCCCCCCCCCCCCCCCCTTCGTGGGGGGGCGGGG